TGCAGCCAAGTGGGCCTCGTGGGCCTTGCTATAAAGACTTTGCCTTTTTTCACTTGGCTGATGCAAGAAACAGAAGACAATCCCCAAATTTTCTTCCTGATGAAATATTGTTGCTAATCAACTCCTCCCTCCTTTGCTAGGACAGCAACTCTATTTGGGATAGGCAGACTCCAGCCCTTCCTTTTTGCCTCTTTCCTTTAAAGGTTGCTATATTTGTTGTTAATCCAGAATTAATCCAGTAGCACACTGGCAAGAAACATGGAAATTACCAGGATCAGTCCACCAAGCCTTAGATACACGGGGGTTCATCTGCTCTGATGGTGGGCTGGTGTTGAAAAGACAGGTCCTGTTTTCCCCATTCCTGTGTCAGAGCTGGTAACCCTGTGGCTGGGCAACCCGATTTGCTGGAAAACTGACCCACCAAAGGGGAAAAAGGAAGATCAGGGGTTTTTTGTGAGCTGAACTGATTCATCCTGGGTACAAAACAAACAACAAACTTTCAAATACCTCCCCCTCTTATTATTTTTTAATTAGTCCTTGATTTTTGGCTATAGGGATTTCTGGCTTGGTGGATGCCAGGGCAAATGGAGGTAGCCTAGGTAGCATCCTCTTCATCTCCGCGTTCCCAAGGTGGGAACCAGTCCCCGAGCAATGGGTTTCCATCCAGGGCAGGATGTGTTAGCACACCTCCTTGGGTGGGAACGAGGTGGAAAAGTCTCAGCTGTGGATTGGGGAAGACTAGTAAGAAAAGTCTTTAAGGAAGAGGAGAAGGAGGAAATCAAGTGCAGTGAGAAGCGTGAATTTGCAACAACACCTTAACAAGGCTTTTGTCTCTCCCACCCCCTGACCCTCAGCTGAGACCTGGGTTTCCTCTACAGTCTGGTTTTAAAATCAGATTTTAATGGTTTTCTTGGCAGGGAAATCTCAGTGTGAGGTTTCTGCCCGGGTCCTGCCACATGACAGTGCAGGGTATGAGCAGAGCAGGGAGGAGGCATCAGGGCATCTGCAGGCTCAAGGAGAGATGTGGGATTTGGGAAGAAGGCTAGCACCCTGCTAGGAGCTTGGTCCAAGCTTGGCTCCATCGTCCACCGCTGAATCTCCTTGGGGTTGTCTCAGGTTATTTTCCGTGCAGAAAGGACAAGCAAGAGGTAAAGACCAGAGCCCTGCAGCCACCCCAGGCACCTGAAATGTGGGGGATGCTGCTGCACCCCCAGCAGCTCCTGTTGAAATCAATGAGTATAACAAGCCCCCCCGAGCTGTCAGATGGCCAAAATTTATCCCTGGGATCTCTCCACAGCACAACAGCCATAGAAATGAAGAGGTCATGGTCATGAACCAGCCCAAGGGTGGGCTGCTTTCTCCCGATGGCTTTCCCCTTGCCATCCCAGGTGATGGTGCCAGTGGTTTCTGGTCCATGGTGTTTCCTCCAGGTGAATCTCCCCAGTGCCGCAGGAGGATAACTCATCTTCCTTTTACAAGGGGATACCTTGGCTTCCTGCCTTTATCAACAGAGCAGCTCGTAGGCAGCAATCCAAAGGCAATTTGATGCGGTTTCAAAAGCACGCTGTACACAGATGAACTGTAAATGCCTGCGGCATGTTTCTTTCCCCATTTCAAAGAGCGCTATCGATTGCTCCATGTGATGATAAAGCATGCCTGTACCTGACTAAGCTCTTTGTTGATTATCTGGCAATGCAGGAGTCTCTTGGACTGGAAGATGACCAGTACCTTTATTTCTCCTATATTTTATCAGACCTATTGGCCAAGGGGCTTGTTAGCCTGTGAATGCTTCGTGCTGCTCCGTAAAGAAGTTTTTAACTGGTAGTAATGGATTGCATCTCATCTGCAAAGCAATTGCAGAGCCAGTAAGGGAGAACTTGGGGCAGTGCTGTGAGGAGGGAAGATCCAATAGATGCTGTGCAAATATCTAAGCTGAGCTTTGCGTACTGCATTTCAGCTGTGTAATGGTTTGTTCTTGCTGCTGGCTGGAGCCGTGGATGTTGCAGTGGGAGTCACTGTATCTGCCCACTTCTGGTGATCATTTTTGAGGCTGATTGGGAAGGGAATTCCCATGTCAAAAGGGGTTTGAGCAGCCGCATATTGAAGCCCAGCACTGGCTTTGATTCTCCTCTCAGTTCATATAACCACAGAATCACAGAATGGTTTGGGTTGGAAGGGACCTCTCAAGGTCATCTCGTCCAACCCCCCTGCCATGGGCAGGGACATCTTCAACCAGATCAGGTTGCTCAGAGCCCCGTCCAACCTGACCTTGAATGTTTCCAGGGATGGGGCATTGACCACCTCTCTGGGCAACCTGGGCCACTGCTTCACCACCTTCATCATAAAAAATTTCTTCCTTATATCTAGTCTGAATCAATCCTCTTTTAGTTTAAAACCATTACCCCTTGTTCTATCACTTCAGGCCCTGTTAAAAAGTCTGTTCCCATTTAAACTAGGACTTTGGAGATTGCTCTCTTGCTTTTCTTCAGGTGGCCCAGCAGGAGCCCATGAAGGTCTTAGCGGTGCTCAGAAAACCAAGTCTCACACTGATGTGTCTTTGGACCTGCTGGACTCTGATCCAGCTCCCACCAGAGTCAACAGGATGCCATGAGGAACTGAACTGGGCTTTCACAGAATTTAGGAGATGCTTTCCCTGTTGAGACATCAAATGGGAATAGCCACTGGGTGGGATCTGGAAGAAGAAATACCAGTAGACTGAGTTGACACTAATGCGGGTACTTCCCTGTATGCGAGACATTTAACATTTGAGTTTTCGCTTTTTTAGTTTCCAAAGAGCTCCCCACTGCTGTAATTTCCCCTGGTAATAAAACACTTCAGTGCGTTCCAAATGCAGCTTCATGAAAAGAAAAGTAGTATGTAGTTTAGGAGGGACTGCAGAAGGGAGCACGCTATGGTCTGTCTGCACAGAACCAGAGGGGATCAGCCTTGATGTCATTAGGAAAGGGATATCTGGAAACGTGGCTGCAGAAAGGAGCTCTACCCCCTGCGTCCCCTCTGCACACATATGTGTTTTCTCAAGAAACAGTTGAGATGGGCTGGGACTAGGGCTCATCTTACTGATTTTCTGTTGTTTCTATAGAATAATGGACCCCAGAGGATTGCGTGTTGGCCTTTAGCAATGCTTTGGTTGCAGGCACTTTGGCCAGAGTCCCAATCTCTGCTCTCTATTTGAAGGAGGTCTGGGAGTTACTGCCAGACAAGTCATATCAGTGATCAGGACAATATTTTTGCAACGCTTTTTCCCCTTTGCACTTCTTTTGCACATCGGCAAGTAGTCCCCAATCGGTCTCCTGGGAAAAAGCGCAGGGTCAGGAAGACCATGCTGGGAAGGGAGAGAAACTGCTGCCAAGGGGTGGGTGAGGGAAGATGAAAGGAAGCATGAACTTCTAGGAAATGGTCCTGGGAAGGTGTAAGAGCTGTGGGGAAGGCGCCTCGGCCAGATCAAAGAGTGTGTGGGAAAGATGATACTGCAAGGAAGTCAATAAAGTGCTTTTAAACAGCAGTGGGAAAGGTGAGAATAGAGACCAAGGGGGCTGAGGTGGGGATGGGAACACACGTTTAAAGGGGATTTTGTTTGTTTGTTTTTTTGGCTAAATGAGTGCTTGGCATGCGAGCCTCTGTTTATCACCAGCAGTGCAGCCAAAGAGCGGTGCTGGTGGATCTGCTTGCCTGGTTTTTGTTGCTGGCCTCCCAGAGACTTTGTTGGTAAGGCACGAGGAGCCATCACCCATGACTGCAGTGGGAACCAACGAGGACAGCCCTTGCTGTCTCTGCTGACCTGCAGGATGCTGGCATGCTCCAGTTTACCCTCTCCAGTGATGCAGAGCTAAATGTTTTTTGGCTGGGTCTTGAAAGCACGCAGCTGCTGTTGCCCAGAGTTGTGCGGAGGAGCTGTTAGGATGTGATCTAAAGAGGTCCAGCAAGCCGGTGAGATGCAGATCAGCTCTCTTCCTCCCTTGGCTGCAACGATGGAGGGACAGAAACGTCTCAGCTGGAGGAGGTTCAAAACCAGAGGGGTGGAAAGAGCTCCTTGCTTGCTGGCATCGTTAATCAGAGAGAATACTTAATGTAATTAGCAAAGAGTCCCCAGAGGCTCCGTGTGAAATAAATTGGCTCTCTTCAGCTGATGCCTGTGCAGGAGGCTGGGCCCACCACAGCAGAGTCTGGGTTAGACTAAGCAGTCCTTGGTTCTTCTGCTCCAACAGACAAGGAGCCAAGAGGCTGTTGTCTGTCCTACCTGCCACCAGCCCGAGGAGCGTTGGTTTTAGACACCTGCTATAAAGCAACGATCCTACCTATCTAAACACGTCTAAATTTGCATCTGAAGTCTAAGCAAGGGAGACATGCTGTCCGCTTGGGCGGTAGGCAGCTGGCCTTTCAAGCTGTTCATCCTGGAGGATGTTCTGATGATGCCATTATCTCTGTCATCTATAGGAAATTTGAACAAAGCTTTGGTTTTTCCTTCCCTGATAAGGGTTTTGGACACCTGAGGCTCCCACTGAGCACACAGCCTAAATGATTTCTCCAACCTGTCAATGCAGGGTCTTGAACCGGAGCTCCCAAATCTCACATGGATGCCCTGACGTGAAGACCTCTGCGTCCTGAAGTTTGCCAGGCTGTAAAATGACTCAGTGTTTGAGCTGTCATTTAGCCTGATGCATGGTCCAGTCGAAAAGGTGCATGTTGCATAGGTTTTGCTTTAAGGCAGCCCACTGTTCTTACAGCTAATTTACAGTTGTGTCTTAACTTGGTTATATCTGCAAAGACTGTTAACCCAATTTTTTTTTCTCCATTAATTTCCCAATGGGGTTCATAACATGAGAGACAAAGTGTTTGGGACATCCATGCTATTTAAGGGTGTACTTAATCTATTCCTTTGGAAAGGGAGTGGAGAAGACTGCATGCCTCAAACTGTTACAGATCTTCAGTAATTTCTGCAGCAATTAAATCTATTTTCATATTGTGTTGTTTTCTAGGTCAACAATGCAGTTCCTAGCCTGGTTCAATTTGCTGCTTCTCCTTCCTTGTTTCGGTACCACCAAAACCTGCTTCCCCGGCTGCCACTGCGAAGTGGAAAGCTTTGGTCTCTTTGACAGCTTTAGCCTGACCAAGGTGGACTGCAGTGGAATAGGCTCACACATTGTTCCTGTCCCAATCCCTCTGGATACCTCCTACTTGGATCTATCATCAAACAAACTGGAAACAATCAATGAATCGATGCTTACTGGCCCTGGATACACCACCTTGGTGAGCCTCGACCTGAGCTACAATAAAATTGCCAAGATTTCCTCCACAACCTTCTCCAGGCTTCGGTACCTGGAGTCCTTGGATCTGAGTCATAACTCTCTGGAAGTCCTTCCAGAGGACTGTTTCTCCAGTTCACCTCTGGGAGACATAGATTTGAGCAATAACAAGCTTTTGGATATAGCAATGGACATTTTTGCTTCAAAAGGTCAAGGAAAACCCCTGAATGTGGATCTGTCCAATAATATGCTCAGCACAGTTACGAGGCACCGTGAAAAGAGCATCCCCAACATCCAGAACTTAAATCTTTCTGGAAACAGGCTAATGTCTGTGCCAAACCTTCAAGGCATTCCTCTCCGATACTTAAATCTTGATGGGAACCCTCTAGTCAAGATTGAGAAAGGAGACTTCATGGGGCTGAAGGATTTGATTCATTTATCCCTCAGTGGCCTGCGTGGCTTTGGAGAGTTTTCTCCTTATAGCTTCAAGGAACTACCAGCCCTCCAAGTTTTGGATTTATCCAGCAATCCTGACCTGAAGTCACTGACTGCTGAAGTTATCTTTGGTCTGAACTCCCTACAAGAGCTCAACCTCTCCGGGACAGGCGTGTCATCCTTGCCAAAGACTGTGCTGAAATACCTACCTTCCATCAAAAGCATCACCTTGGGGAAGAACATACAGTGTCTTAAGACCATCAAAGAAGGACAGTACCACCGACAAATTGGGCTGACCAAAAAAGAGGTCCTCAGTTGCCACGACAGCCACGGGTCCGTAGCAGCAGCCCCTTACGTTTCGTGATGAAAACTGGGGAGAAGGGGTGGGGAAGGGGGGGGGGGGGGGGGCTGTGGGATTTGTACAGGTGTCGGACTGAGATGGCTTGCAGTGTGCCTTTTGTAAAATTGTCAATAATTTATATATTTGTATATGCCAATACTTGATTGTTTGTGGATTTTATAAACTCTCAAATCCTGGTCCACATCATCTGCAGGCTCCAGATTTTGCCCAGAGCGTTGAGGTCCTGTACGCAGCCTGTTAGCTCAAGAGCAGTGATTCTGGACAACGGGGACCAAGCTGCTCTGCAGGTCCCAGGGCAGAACAGCCAGTCTGGAGCAAACCTTTGTGCCCCAGACACATTCGTAGGAGCAAAGCTACGTCTCTCCAGAGCACACACCAAAACGTACCAACTCCATAGCTGCTTGCTTACAAACCCATGCATCATCCTTTTTTTAATTATTACTCCCCAAGAAGTGCCTTCTGGATCTTGCCTTCATTAGCAGCACCCTGTTCCCTGTCATGCACTTTCAGTCTTGAAGAAACATTTCCAGACAAACCTGAATACAGGGTGCTCCTAATGTGCTGCTTTTTACATGTTATTTGCATAGGTGTGCAATGAACATTGAGTAAGTCGAGAACTTTTCCCACAATTTTCTCCCTGTTTTCCCATCTCGATCCTTTTCATGTCAAATTACTTCAGGTCCAACCTTGGCAACCTCCTGTCTTTCTAACCTTAGAGAGCCATTGCTCAGAGATGATGTGCAGCAGAGCAAGGGAAGCAGAGGGGTCTGCCAACAGCCGCATCTCACCCAGGAACCAGCCTCCGATGAAGCAAATTAACTGAAGAGATCATGTAGCCTAGCTTAAAAAAAAAAAAAAAAAGAATAAAAATCCCTCCTCCCTTTCTGGGGAAGCTTGGAAGAAAACCTTGACAGGGATTCTCGTTTTGACGACCTTATCAAACCAAGATGCAGACCCAGAGGACGTGAGAGTAAGCTGCTTCCACGCTGACGTCTGCCATCTGAGCACAACATCTGCGACTCAGCTGGGCTCGTGTGAGGCAATTTCCAGCGCCGAAAAACTCTCCAGAACATGCCAGCAGAAGAATTAACACTGATGCCTGGGACCCTGGAGCGCTTTGCCTATCGGGGAAAAATATTGGGGGGTTTTTTGCAGAGTTGTGGCTTTTCTTTCTCTCACACAGCTCCTTGGCTGCCAACTGAAATCTGATAAAAAGCCTCAGAGATTTACTTCTTTTTTACTCCATTGCTGAAATGCTGGCAAAGTAAAGAGGAACCCTTCTGGTCCCTCTTCTCCAGGCTAGGAGAAAGTGGGGGAAGGCAGCACAGCACGACTCAATGCCGTGTGGGAAGCCTTCAATTTGCTTATAGGAGCTCCTGCAATGGAGGTGTCTGGTCCACATCTACCATGGTCCGTCCTGGGGATGGCAAGGGATGTTGGGGATGGGGGTCCTGCTCGGGTTTTTCTGCAGCTTGGTCTCTAAACCCAGCCTTGCATTAGGGCAACCTTCAAAGTTTGAAGCTGGTTTAGGGAGGTCCATGCAAAGGTGATAGAGATATAAATCCATCCCACAACCCTCCTTGGGAGCGTTGGGAGGAGCTCAGGCTTCATCCTCACACCCCCAAAGGTCTTCGCGAATGCAAACCCTGTTGCCCAAAGCAGCTGTCTCCAGGGGTGGTTGAAATCTACTGAGCCCATAAAAGGCAGAGTCAACACCTCACTTTGGATACTGAAATCCCTCTCTCACATTTTCATCCATCTCCTTTTCAATTGTGGATCTTAGGGTGGGATTTTAACCCTTTCTTTCAGTGCTGGGGGTTTTCCCTCTCTACGGAGCCTTTGCAATGCTCGACCAGCCTTCACAGTCACAGGAAACATTGATTTTCTTAAAAAGGCAATGGGACTGCCTACAGGCAGGGATTTGGAGGGGAGCAGTAACCAACTGCAGTGCAAGATGGGGGCAGTTTGGGAGGGAGGAGGTGTTTTTTAGTAGATCTTGCCTTTTTAAGAGAATTCTTTTCTGCTGGCAGAAAATGTAATTTTTTAAAAAGTTGTTTAATTTTATAAATCTGTACGTAGATGAAATGCTTCGGGGATCACGTACTGTCAAAGTTACTGTCTTTGCACCACTGTGGTAAGTTTAAAACCCAATGTGACAATCCAATTGAAGACTGCAAGATTTCCTTGTGTAATCTCACACTAGCTGCTAGCTAAACAAGTCTTAGCAAAAGCTGGCAAATACCGTCGCTGTGTTAGTTTGTTTTTTTAAAGAACCTCTGCAGCATTGTAAGGCTTTGTGATTACTCACGATATAATAAAGTGATTTGGAGGAGAATAAACCCAGATCCCCGGATTTATTGCCTTAGTGCTGGGAGGGCGACAGATGTCACTGCGTCCGAAGTGCAACGCGGCTTCTCTCCTTGCTCTCCTCAGCCCCACCAGCCTCGTGGGTGTTGCATCTCCAAACTGGGGGCAGGATTTGTCCCACTGTGTTTGGCTCGCTGGGCTCCTCGCTGGCAGAAAGGCTTGAGAGCTGCACTGGCTGACTCAAAGGAAATTATGGACACGTGGCAGTGAAGCAGCACAGGAGTATCTGGAGCAAATTTCCTGCTCCAGGATCTGCTCCAAAGCTTGTCAGAAATGGTGGGGATCTCTTCATGGATTTTGCCAGTTTGGGACATGGTCTGCTAGGGTTGAAAGGCTGGATTTGCGGAGGGGGTGATGTGGGGAGAGCCCATGAGCTGTTTCACAGGACCTTGGGGGTGGGGGGAAGCGAATGGGTGCAGGAGCGATGCCACGGCATGGCAAACCACACACTGCCAGACCGCAGAGCTTTTGGCGGTGAGATACACGTGGTCCGGTCTCAGCACCGCTCTCTGAGGAGCGGGGGGCTGCTGCGTGGAGGGCTAAGAGCATGCAGAGCCATTGCAACTGAAGAATAAACAGAAACCTCTCTGGAGGGCTTTGCCTGCTCTTAAATAGAAAAATTTAATTTTAAGCACTTCTCGGTGCTGTGTATAAAAGCAACGCAAGCAGAGCCCCAGTGAGGAAACCGCCTCTGGGCAGTGTTCCCGGTCCTCCCAAGCCTGAAGGAACAAATTCATCTTCCATCCAGGCAGGAAGAGCTGCAGGCTGCCTGGAAAAGACTATGGGTTCTCCGTTTGCCTTCCAAAACTGCCCTGCTCTCCAGGATGGCATGCAAGGTACAGTCAGACTATAACCTGGGGGTTGACATCGCCAAGAGAGGCCAGATCTTGCTCCCAGCAGTATTACGGGCTGTAGGGGAAAAAGCCATCACCAACCCTTAGAGATGACTGCTCCTCTGGTGTCCACCATTAGGCTGTGACCATTAGCCTGCACCACCACGCTCCTTCTGGATGGGATCCCTCCTGCCCTGGGATGCGGGCTCAGCTGGAGTGGTGGAGAGTGTCCTGCTGTCCTGGGGAAGGACTCTGTCCCAGGAGCGATGGGTCTGAAGCTAGATTCTCCCACTTCTTGTAAACGCCCCATTTACATGATGCTCCAGCGCTGTGCTGGACCTTGACCCTCCCAGTACTCCTTTGCCTTAACATCTTATTTTGCTAGTGATTTTTATTATTTAAATAGTCTTTCTGAAGCCCCCTGGATGGGAAGAAGCATTCAAAGCTCTGTCAGCCACATGAGCCCCCTACATTGCCCACCCAGGACGTCCCTCTCCACCACAGAATGTGGACACCAGAAACACAGCACTAATGTCCCCACGGAGGAGGAAAAGGCACACGATGGCTTCAGGCTTGGAAAAGTGGAGAAGGCCCTCATGCCAGCTTTCTGAAGCTGCTGTCAGCTTGATAACATGGCGTGATGGACTATAAACCCTGGTGTCACCCCAGCCACCCATGCCAGGAAAGCTGGCCAGGCTGGTTAGCTGCAAGCTCTGGCTGTCTCCAGGACCAGCTCAGCTCTGCGGCCGGATACGTTTTGCCCTGGCAAGGCAAATGGGCATTTTAATTAGAGGCTGACCATTTTTAGAAGCAGGAAAACCTCAGTGGAGGCTGGGCAATAAGGATAGGCTGGGTTAGGGAGGGGAAAGCAGTGGCCGAGCTGGCATTTGCTTGCAGCACTCTGTCTCCTGGAGGGCTATCATCATCTCACCCCCCTTCCCAGCACGTTGGGAAAGACATTGAGGGTTGCTTTGCCCCATCCGCCTTGTGACCAGGGCAGCATCGGACAACCATCTTCTTCTCTTTATTTGAAAACATGAACCTCTTGGTACCCAAAAGCTCCCATTTTCTTCTCACCAGTCTGCTGGAGCTGTTTCTCCTGACTGTCAGCTGTCAGCCTACAGAAGTCCCTCGCTGACTGATTATGAGCCTGACTTCATAGCAGCAGTAAGTGCTGTCCCTTTTAAAAATAGCTGCTCCTCTGTACGTTTTCCATTTTGCAGGAGGTTTTTATTTCCAGCACGTTTATTCTGCATACCCTGACTTGGTCAGGCTGGAAAGCATGGATGTACTCTTGCCATGCCAGAAAATAATGCTGCATGGCTGGGCATAATCCTTCTGGCTACCCCAGGATCTGCCTCCTGGGAAGGCTTCGGGGCAGCGAAACCATCTGCCCCGTGCATGTTTCTCGAGGCAGCGCCGTAGCATTATTCTTGCCCCATCGCCCCCAAGACATCCCCTTCCTTCCCTTTTTGAGTGGACCAGCAGACCTGGGAACCTGATTAAAAGGTGGAAAACTGGAGCTGAAACTAGGCCATCAGATAAATCCTTTCCTGTAATAAGCAGGGAGTCGGAGCACCGGCCCTTAATCACAGCCTTTGTCTTCTAGCATTTGTATGCCTGTGTGCACGCGTCCCTCAGCGCCAGAACAAACCCTCCCCCCTCCTGCCCCATCCCCACCCCTGCACTGCCTTTCATTAATGGCATGAAAATAAAAGTGGTTTATTCTGCCACGGAGGAGCACCCCGGAGAAAGCAGCAGCCCGCTGTGCCAGGCGCTGTGCATCCTTCAAAAAAAACCCCTGCCAGCTGCCAAGGGGGTTTGGGCAGGGGGATGTGTTGCCACCCTGCCCAGCTCCATCCCCTCCAGTGGTCCAGCCTCCACTCCGGGTGCACCTCAGGGGGATTAAAAAGCCTGACAAAAACCACAAATTTTTGCCCCTGGCAACTTTCCCACCAGCGTGGTGATGTCCTTTGACCCCCACCGCTGCCCGCCTGGACCTCCGCGCCACGTGCTCCCCTCCTCTTCCTCGTTAGCGGTGGATGTGTGTCACGGCACTTGCTGGTTAATTGACTGGGGCCGTGCTGGGAATTTGAACCTACATTTCAAAGAGATTGTTAACCTCCTTTTCCTTCTCTTTGAACTGCTTTGCTTTATTGTAGGTTAAAGGAAACACACGGCTTCTTCCTCCCAGAGCCCCTTTTGACAGAATCCTGGCACATTAGAGCCGGTGGTTTTTCACCAGTGATGATGTTGGCAGCAGCATGCTGCTAAGCGGCGTGTGATGATGCATTTTGGTGGGATCAAGCTGCCCCTTGATTTCTGAGGGGATTGCAGGTAAAGGAATGGTCCAGAGATGCCCAAGGGACTGGCTGAGGCACGTAACATTGCTGTCCCGGCAGCACGTGGGGGGGATCTCAGCCAACAGAGGACCAAGGAAGGGCCACAGGTTATGGGTCGCTCACCCAGACGGGCTCGGGTCCATGAATGACAACTTTTTTGAGGTGTGTTTCCATGGGTGGTTTAAGTCCCCCTGTGACTGCAGGGCAGCAGAGGGAGGTTGTCCTGACCTTCCTTGCTATTACATCAAAGCCAGCATTTGTGGAGCCCTTCACTGTATCAAAAAAA